ACCTACAATGTTTTTTGAATTTTTCTATATCCTTCTCTATTGTCAACTATGATTTTTTTTCTGATATTATTATACCTGCTTCTTTTTCTGGTTTGCCATGGGCAAGAAAAGCAGATAACCAAGCACGTCAGAATTATGTCTAAAATAAAGGAAAATATGTGTTGAGTCTCCCTCACCATTCAGTAAAATACATAAGTTTTAATGTATGAATTTTATTATATTTTTACTTCAGCTGTTCAGAGAAATTTCCCGCATTTATTCCAGGACCCTGGTTATTTTTACAGATCGTTGAAGTTCCTGCGTAACTTGTCTAGAGATAAGTACACCGACAGGAAAAAAAAATATGAAAACATTATTTAAAAATCTGTTATGTTCACTTAAAATAAGTAATACCACTGCTCCCTGTTCACTCCAAAGAAAAGGATGTCCATTTGTATTTGTCATGTAGAACATTATCTTATGTTAAAAAACCCTACAAATGACACCGATAGTTACATACAATGAAGTGTACAGATATAGCACATCAGGAAATTTGTTCCAAAATTTTTCTTCAAATAGGACCTTTGATTTCATTGGTATAGAGAATTCTTGGGCTTCTTGTGAGGATCCCCACTCTACCAGTGTAGAACAATACTTTTTTGGAAATGTGTAGTCTTGGACTGTTGTTTGAAGCACTTGAAAGATAAATATTCGACACTTCATCTCTTGGATTTTGTCTTTATGCTAGATGTCTGTCCTATACCTGCACAGATTTCCCTCCTCACCTCTGCCTTTTAGGATACCCTGGCTTCCTTCAAGAATTAACTAAAATGCCACCTTCTGCAGGAGGCCTTTCCCAGTCCTACCAGCTGATTGTGCCTCTAGGGTTACCTACCATCTACTCTGTGTGTATTATTCTATGTGTCTATTTATAAGCATATTGTTTCTCCATACAAATATAAGCTCCCTGAGGGCAGAGAGTATTTTCGATTTTTCTTTGTAGTGTCCACATTACACAGGACAGTTCCTGGCACATAGTAAGTGGTTAACAAATGCTTGTTGATTGGGTCAGAAGTAGGACTTGAACCCAGGTCTTCTAGCCTCTAAGGCCAGGTCTCTGTCCAGGATACCATGTCACTTTATTTATTTAAATGGTGGTGAATTTTGTATTATGTCAATTTCCCTGTTTATTGGCTACTTATACTAAAAAAACTCTTGCATCTTGTATGTCTGTTGATTCTAAATGGATTTTTCCTATCGGTGATAAATGACCTGAATGAGAATGAACAGCAGATGAACGTGATTCTACCTTATGACTTTTGGGGCATGTCTACTCAGAAAAATTGCTTTCTAGTTGAGGTCAAAATACCTGTGCCCCTGTCACTGATTCTTGTCTAACAAGAATCAAATGGCATTAGTAGGTGCTCATCAGGAGGCAAAGCGGCCTCTTTCCTTCCTGCTAATAGCATTTTTCATCCTTAGGGACAAATAGGCTAGCAATGCACTCCCACCATGTGACAGTAAGGAAATGTTTTGTCAGTAAATCTCCTCTTGATGTGGTGCATCTGTATGCTAGGGAGCACTGTGGTACAATGGGAGCTTTTTTTTTTTATTATTTAATTCCTTATGAGTTCTTGTTAGTTAAAAATCGCCTAAGGGATTCAAGCTATTCACAAACTTTTGGCATAACTTCTCTATGTGTAAGCTGCCTTCTTATTCCAGAAGACGGTTATCACATCTTGGCTATGCTGCAAGCAGCACACGTGGGAATTTTTTGCATGTCACACTGTCTAGAAGTTTCTATTTCGTGGCCTGGAATGCATAGAAACACAGAGTTAGAGTTGGGAGGGACCTTAGAAATGGTCAAACCCAGTGCCCTCATTTTGCAGTTGAAGAATTGAGACCCCTGAAGGTTAAATGACGTGTCCAGTGTTGCACAGTTAGCAAGTGACTAAAACAAGGTTTGAACCTTGATCTAGCTGACCCCAAATCTAGCACTCGGTTGACTGCACCATGTTGCTTGTAAAAGCATTAGCATATGCCACACAACTGGACATGACCCTCCAAAAATATCTGTTTTCCCTTGGGAAGTAAATAACAAATCCCATCAAAATTCCGTTTTGATTTTTCAGGACCATTTCAGATGGTAGGGTAGTGAGAGGAGGTGGCAGATAATTCTTCTTTTGTAGATTTGGAAAGTATAGAGATACTCTGAGTGTTTTGTTCTTATTGATTATGTTGGGAGCAATATTTTAAATGTGACTCCTCTCACTCCCCCAAAGCAAGTTAGGCTAGTTTTATTTTGTTTTGTTTTCTCAAAAGGTATTGAAACAGTCCTGGAAATTTAATTGGCTTAGGAGACTATGATGTGATTTCCTGGTCTATTGAGTACAAAATATCCTCCTCCTTCAGTCCTTGACTATAGAGCCTCAGGATGACAAATACTGATGCTGGAGAACTGTGGTCAGGTCAATTAAGGCTATATCACAGAGGTGAATTAAGGTTATATCACAGAGATTAAAATCAATCAATAAACATTTATTAATGCCTACTATGTGCCAGGCCCTATGTTAAGCACTGGGGATATAAAAAGAGCCAAAAAGATAGTCTCTCCCCTCAAGGAGTTTACTTGGGGGAAGTAATGTCTCAATACCAATTTAAAGTCCTACTTCTGATCTAATCTTCTAACGGGGGAAGACAACATACAAACACATATATATGAAGCAAGCTCTATGTAGCATAAATAGGTAATAATGAACAGAGGAAAGGTACTAGAATTAAGATGGGTTGGTGAAAGCTTCCAGTAAAAGATGGGCTTTTAGCTGTGGCTTAAAGGAAGCTAGAGAGGTCAGTAGTCAGAGTTGAGGAGGAAGAGCATTCCAGGCACAGGAGATAGCCAGATAAAACACCTGGAGTTGAGAGATATAGTATCTTGTTCCTGGAACAGCAAACAGGCCAGTGTCGCTGGATGAAAGAGTATGTGTTGGGGAATAATATATGAGAAGACTGGAAAGATAGGAGGGGGTTAGATTCTGAAGAACTTCAAATGCCAAATGGAACATTTTATATTTGATCCTGGAAGCAATAGGCATCCACCAAAGTTAATAGAGTGTGAATGAGTGAGTGAGTGTGTGTGTGGTGTGTGTGTGTGTGTGTGTGTGTGTGTGTGTGTGTATGTATCTGTCTGTCTGTGTTTGTGTCTGTGGTGGATGGCATGATTAGATCTGCCTTTGAGGAAAATGAATTTAGTGGCTCAATAGAGGATGGATTGAATTGGGGAGAGAGTTGAGTCAGGCAGACCCACCATCAAGCTATTGAAATAATGTAGGTATGAAGTGATGAGGGCCTGCACTAGAGTGGTAGCAGAGTCAGAGAAAAGAAGGGGGTATATTGGAGAGATGTTGCAAAGGTGACATTGATAGGCCTATTCAAGAAACTCTAGTAGCTCCCTATCACTTTGACAATCAAATATTAGATCCTCTGTTTAGCAGTCAAAGCCCCCATAATATATTCTCCCCACCTTTCCAGTCTTCTTACATTTTACTCCCTCCCCCTCCCCCATGTCCTTGCTGTTCCTCAAACAAGACACTCTTTCTCCTGACTCCAGGCATGTTCACTGTCTGTCCTCCATTCACAGAATGCTCTTCTTCCTCACCTGCACTTCCTGGTTTCCCTGATTTTGTTCAAGTCCCAGAAAAAAACCTCATTTTCTGCAGGAAACCTTTCCCAATTCCTCTTAAGTCTAGTGGCTTACCTCTGTCAGTTACTTTCTGTTTATCCTGTATATAGCTTGTTTATATATATAGTTGTTAGCATTTTGTTCCCCTCTCTCCTTTAGACTGTGATCTCAAGATTTCAGGACACTGTCTTTTGCCTTTCTTTGCACTCCCATCATCCTTCACTCCCATCACATCTCCAACACTTAGTATAGTACCTGGCAAATAGTAGATTTTAAGAAATGTTTATTCACTGACAGACTGTATTAATTTAATTTCTCTTCTCTGCTTTTGTAGAGCCAGAGTAATTTGTATTAAAGCAATCTCTTTGGTTCAGTTTGAGCCCCCAGATGGGAAAAAACCCCAGTAATCTGAAAGACAATCTCTTCTTTCTCTCTGTCCCTGAGAAACCATAGACTCCTATTCCACTCCTTGTAACCTCTTCTCCCTCCTTAAGAAACACACACACACACACACACACACACACACACACACACACACACACAATCTTAGAAAAACTGATTTCTTTTGAGAATACACAGTAAATACAGAAAGTGATTGGCCTTTTCTTTTTAAAGAAATGAAGAATGTGATAATATGGTTAACACGAGTAAGCCAGTGGTAAGAAAGGGAGAGAGATGGTGTTTCACCTATTTCGTTATCAGTACCAGAAATAGTCACTGCTTTTCTGCTTTGGCTGTGGGTAGCAGCACCATTCAGCTACAGTTTTTCCTGAGCACCTCGGCCCAGTTGCCCTGCAGTTGAAGCCACTTGGGTGTTAAGGCTGTGGCTTCACTACTGAAGTTTTTTAGGCTCAGAGATTGTATCAGGGGCCAGTGACAGTCCTGTACCTCCATATATATTGTCATACCTTCACTCTCTGTCTTCATCGCAGTGGCACTGAATCCTCCTCTAGGAGTATAACTATACCTCTACGCACTCTACTTATTCTGACATCCTCCCTTCATTCAAGACATCTCTTGTTCTTCCCCTCTCCATTATGGAGAGAAGAGGTTGAGTTTTCCCTTATGGTCTCCTAGCTCTCTAAGGATCAAGGAGATAAGAATTTGTGAACTCAGTTTTACATAGCTATCAATCTCCTAGGAAGAGTGTAACAGTAGTTATGTTACTATGATTGTGAGCTATTTGTGTTCTTGTGGGTATTTTGTGTTAAGCATATCTTTTGTATGGAGGAAATAAATAGCTTCTCTGATCTACTCTGTACATTGAACACCTTTCTATTCTCCCCATGTAGGGAGACCTTACATCTGAGTCAAACCTAAGCTTTAAGTGATTTTTCTCTAGGGGAGATATCATATCAGCATGTGATCCAAGAGGAAATAGAAAGATGCATGATGGTAAGTAGGCTATTTTATGATTAATATTGCTTTATTACCTTTAAAGTGTTAATTAATATTACTATTAATGATTTGTATCCAAGAGTTAGAATGACAGTTATCACCTGTATGACTGGAAATGAAGGTCTAATGGTAAAGTTTCTGTTTGTACTAGTTGAGGGGCTGTGATGAAAAGGGAGGGAATATCATGCTGATAAAGTCATACCTGTGTTGAAATTTTAAAGTGTAGAATCTATAACCAATTCCTATGTATTAGAAATAAAAAGGACTGTCAGAGGAGACCTGAAGAAAGCTAGTTGGATATATTTTATATATATATATATATATACACACATATATACATATATATTTTATATCTATATACATATATATACATATGTATATATATTTATATATATATCATATATATTTTATATATACACATATATACATATGTATATATATATTTTATATATATATACATACATATATATATAAATATATATACATATGTATATATATTTATATATACGTATATATTTTTTATATATATATATACATATATATTTTATATATATATATATACATATATACATATGTATATATATATTTTATATATATATATATATATATATATATTTTATATATATATAATATATATATATATATATATATATACATATATATATATTTATAATCCAGAGCATTCTCTGGATTAGTGAATTCGATTGATGATTTTCTACTGAAGGTTTGACCTACTTTTAAAAAACTGGCAAGTTAAAGAGAGTTCCAAACAGATTTTACAACTACTTAACATAAATTATACCATCTGCGACAATGAAATACTTTGTCACGTCGCAATATACCCACTAGCTGTGAATCTGCAAACATTTTGCTTTCTCTGGTTTCAAAATGGTATTCCTCAATTTCCAGGGCCGCTCTGGATTTCGCTTGTGTATTTCTGATGCATCTTCCAGAGTCCATACTTGGAAGAGGTGCTGATGCTTGATGTAAGCCAATGAACTAATGAGCAAACTCTCCTTGCCTTTTCCATGCTCCTATTCTTTTCATAAACAATGGGGAAAAAAATCAATGGACACTAAATGAAGGAAGAAGGACTGAAGGAATGGTGTCAGGCAGACCATAAGCACCATATGTCATGGAATGTAATTTGACTTTTAATGGTTTACAAACTCCAAACCCTTACTCTTAATTGAGCTATATTTATACTGTCTATTCCACTCTCCACGCTTTTCTCACTCGCTGCTGCTGTTGTCTGTGTGAACTAAACTCCCCATTTTTAGTAGCCCACTGCTAAAACCCATCAAACACAATGGCAAGCAGGGTTTGTCTATTAGTATTGCCTAGAGCAGTGGTCTACCATTTATGCAGAAGTTTCTGTGGAAATTCAGCTAGGAAATTTGTATCCTTTCTGATGTCAGTGAGTTGTTTTTGTAAACTAATGAGATGTAGCATTTTTATTTTTTTATTTTGCATTTTTAACAAGTAGATTGAAAACTCACTGAAATTCTTCATTTTCTAAAAGGTTATAAGATTATGTTTCCCAATTTAAAAGTATAAGATATAATTTATTTATATTTAAAAGAGATATGAGCAGTTTTATAGAAACATAAATTGTTCTTGGTAACAAAATCTTAGTTTCTAAATTACGATGATTGAATACAATTATTATTTTAACTAACATCTCAAAGTATAATATCTTTAAAATATGGTTCATTCATTAACCGGTGTATGTAAATCTGTATTTAAAATTATCTTGATTATTTTGAATTTTTTTTGGTGACTTCTTGTCAAATCTAATTAGGTTGTTTGTCATTGTTTTTACCATTAATATGGCTGATGAAGAATTCTTACTAAGTGTAGAACTGTCAACTGCCATTTTCTTGTTTGCTGCTATTCCCAGTATTATTATACTCTTCAATATGCAGTTTCTTTGTACACATTTTTTAAAGCAATTGGTCCACTTCATGTGGATTAGTGTTTTTTTAAAAGTTAAATCTAGATTATAAAGTACAAAAAACCCCCCCATATTTCTGGCTATACATAAACTGTAGTAAGTCACAATATGCTGAAAGTGAATTAAGGAATGAGGGCACAACTGTGGACTCCTTGGTGTTATACAACTCACACATGGTGCATCTATAAGGTATACCTGAGGATATCTTGCATGCCATGCATGTTGTGTCTGTCTGGCAGTCAAACTTTCTTTCTTTCCTTATTTTAATAAAAATAAATATATGTCTAGTATTTTCTGTCTGAACCCACATGTTCACACATTATTCTAGGGAGTGCTGCTTTAAATAGGTGATATATATTTACTTTTAAAAAAATTTCTAATGTTTTAAATGCAATAAGCATTTATTAAAAACGTGTTAAGTACAAGGCATTGTGTTTTGCCACAGCTTAATTTCTTTGCTCTTAAGCTAAAGTTGTACTGATGCCTCTTGTTTTTTGGACTATAATTATTTCCCAATGCACATCCCCATGAATTCTTCTCCTAATAAAGAAAATCAACTAAGCAAAACCATCTGACAAATCTATCATTTCTGGCAATATGTGACACACTTTCCCATTAAAGGGAGATAAGAGTGTTTCCTCAGCTCTTCTATGTGACCATTACTGGTTACTGGAATTAATTTTAATTCAGCCATCTTTTTATGTTGTTTTCATTTACATTATTGTATGCACTGTGTATGTCATTCTCCTGTTCTTATTTTGATCTGTATCAGTTCACACAAGTTGTCCCAAATGTCTCTAAATTCCTCATATTTATCATCTCACTGCTCAATTATTAAATCCATACGCCACAATTGTTCAGCTTTTCCCTAATTGCGGTGTGCTCTTTTTGTTTTCTGAATTCTCGTTACTACAAAAAGTTTTGCTGTGAATATTTTCATATATCTAGGACTTCTCTTGATGTCTTTGATCTCTTTGGAGGTATTTGCTTAGTTGTGGTTTCATTGACTACAAAAATATGCATAGTTTAGTGACTTTTCAAGAATAATTCCAAATTGTTTTCCAAAATGAATGGACCAATTCATGGCTCTGTTAAAGCATCTTAGTTTGATTGTCTTCCCATGGCCTCTCTTTTTATCAGTTTTGGTAATTTGTTATGTATGAGGTAAAACCTTAAAGTTGTTTCAATGTTCATTTCTCTTAGAGATTTGGAGCTATTTTTTTTTTCATATGGCTGTTGATAGTTCAAATTTTTCTGGGAAACTGCTCATACACTTTGACCACTTATCTTGTTCTTGTACATTTTTGTCAATAGTATCTGTGTGTGTGTATATGTGTATACATACACATATATACACTTATGTGTATATATGTGTGTGTAATATATAACATGTGTGTATATATTGTTGTTCATCCTTAATTTTTGAAGAAGACTAATGACATCATGATGTTGGGGTCAGGATCAGTCCAATATGAATTCAGAAGGCTCTACCACAGGTCAGGGACAAGTAGTCTATTAGAACATTTGGGATGGAGATATCTCTGGATTTGTGCTACTGCAATTCTGCTTTGCTCATAGAGTACAGCAACTTCTTTGATGTGAGCATTACATGCTGGGTGGTCCTATGTCAGCATCTCCCATGTCTCATAATCCACAGCAAATTTCTTCAGAAAAACTTTGAGAGTGTCCTTGTACCTTTTCTTCTGACCTTTATCTGAGTGCTTGCCTTGTGTGAGTTCTCTGTAAAATAGTCTTTAGGTAAGCATGCATTTGACATTTGAGCTGTAGAATTTCACTCTCTGCAGCAGAGTTTTAATGCTTGGCTGTTCAGCTAGAGAGATGACCTCAACGTCCAGTACCTTATTATGCCGGGAAATTTTCAGAATCTTCCTAAGACAATTCGAGTGGAAGAGGATCATTTTACTGACATGGTCTTATTGACTGTACAGGTTTTACAGGCATACAGCAGCTAAGTCAGCACAACAGCTCTGCAGATCTTCAGTTAAGTATGCAGACTAATACCTCTTCTCTCCCACACTTCCTTGTAGTCTCCTAAGACTACTCTAGCTCTGGCAATATGTGCATCAACTTCATCATCTGTGGATGCCCCTGGAGAGTATACTACCAAGATAAGTGAACTTATCCACAGCATTCAGAATTTTTCCATTTACTGTGACCAATGGTTCAATGCATGGATAGTACAGTGCTGGCTGGTGGAGGACCTCTGTTTTCTTGGTGTTAATTATCAGGCCAAAATTGTTGCAAGAAGCAGAAAATTGATCCACACCCTATTGCATCTCAGCCTCAAAGGCTTCATTGAATGTATAATCATTTCTGAACAAAAAGTTACGCACCAACTCTCCCTCCACTTTGGTCTTGACTTATAGCTTCTTCAAGTTAAATAGTTTACGTCAGTGTGGTAGCTGACATTGATGCCATTTTGGTCCTTGTTGACAGCAACTGACAAAACTGTGGAAAACATCATGCTAAAAAGCATGGGAGCAAGCTCACAGCCCTGATTCACTGACTGGGAACAGGTGAGGATATTTAATGCAATTGAAATTGCCTACTTTATTTTTTTAATGATTATTCCTTGTTTGGTTAAGAATTCTTCCCCTAAATATAGATCTGATAGATAACTTTTACAATTTCCCTTGATTTTTTTATATGCTATTTTACATTTTGGCCATATCCTTTTGTACCTTTTCTGTGGTATAATGTGTAAGATAGTGATCCAAACCTATTTTATGTAAAATTACTATATAAAGAATTAAGGACTCACAGTGACAGAAAAACAATATAAAAGCATTATATTACATTGCTTATTTATTTTTAATAAAAATGAGACTGTCACAAAGTTCAAATAGAAGATGGATTCAGTTAGGGGGTAAATTGTGGCATTCAGATTGTGAGTGCTAAGAGTTCAAAGAAAGGCATTTTGAGAGAGCTTTTTCTTTTGTCTTTCTTTTTTCTTTTTAATCACTATATACAACTAGGAGTATTGCTCCTTAGGATATCTGATTCAACCTTCCCCTTGAATAAATTTGTGTCTACTGCAATCATTCAATAAATCAACAAGCATTTGTTTTTATTTTTTTAATTTTAAATTTATTTATGTTTAGTTTTCAGCATTTACTTCCATAAGATTTTGAGTTCCAAATTTTCACCCCATCTCGCCCCTCCCCCTGCCCCAAGATGGCATACATTCTAAATATCCATTCCCCTAGTCTGCCCTCCCTTCTATCTCTCCCCCCTTCTCTTATCTACTTCCTCTTCTACTTTTCTGTAGGAAAGTAGATTTAGGATGGATAGATTTCTGTACCCCATTTCCTGTATTTCTTATCTCCCAGTTGCATGTGAAAACATTTTTTTAAACATGTGTTTTTAAAACTTTGGGTTTCAAATTTTCTCCCTTCCTCCCTCTCCACCTACCCTCATTGAAAAGGCAACCAGCTCAATATAGGTTATACATGTGCAGTTATGCAAAACACTTCCATAGTAGTCATGTTGTGAAAAACTAACTCTATTTCCCTTAATCCTATCCTGCCCTCCCCCATTTATTCTTTCTTTTAACCCCGTCCCTCCTCAGAAGTGTTTGCTTCTGATTACCCCGTTTCCCAATCTGCCCTCCTCTCTATCATTCCCCTGCTCTCTTGTCCCCTTCTCCTCCTATTTTCCTGTAGGGTAAGACAGATTTCCATACTCAATTGAGTGTGTATGTTATTCCCTCTTTAAGCCCAATACTATGAGAAAAAGACTCACTCATTCCCTCTTGCCTTCCCCTGTTTCCCCTCCACTGTAAGAGCCTTTTCTTTTCTGTTTTTTGTGAAATAAATTACCCTGTTCTACCTCTCCCTTTCTCCTTCTCCCAGCATAATCCTCTTTCACCTCTTAATTTTATTCTCCAGATATGACCCCTTCATCTTCAACTCACCCTGTGTCCTCTATCTGTCTGTCTGTCTGTCTGTCTATCTATCTATCTATCTATCTATCTATCTATCTATCTCTCTATCTCTCTATACATGTGTGTAT